TTCCTGCTATGAGGTTTTCTTGGATGGACAGCAACAGCTGTAACCCCTTCCATACCTGACTTATTTAAAACACTTATTTAATCTAACTGTTAAAAAAGAAAAGAAGCCTTAACATCAGAAAGAGATGGATTTGAAGCCCAGATCTGTCATTTATTAGCTGTGTGACCTAGGGCTCACTACTTAACCACTCTGTTCTTCAATTTTCTCATCTGGAAAATGAGGTAATAATAGTATCTGCTTCCAAATGTTGGCAGGAGGATGGAACAAGACTTTTTTGAGTGGGGGTGATTTGTACAGCCTAAAGAAGGAGGAAAAGGTGCTGAAGACTGAACCCCCCGGTAGGGATAGGAGTGGGGTGGGGTTGGAGGTGATCAGGGTTCTGGATGTGGGCCCCAGGATGACCAGTTAGTCAAAGGTTGAGACTGGCCAAGTGGCTTAATACTGGCAACTTCCCCTTCTCTAACTATACATGAGTGGGGGATGGATCATGCTAAGCCCTGCCCTGTGCCACACAGAATTAGAATACGAGCTCACACAGAATGAGAACATCCCACAAAAGGAAGAATGTTAATCAAGCTCATGGCTGGGGATCGCAGGGTGAGGGATATTAAAACTGTTACCCTGGTAATCCTTGAATGTATTTTCGTTGTGAAAGATTCTAACACTCCAGATCTATATAGAGCAAACTATGAAGTCCCTCTTCATCCACTTCCACTATCAACAGTTTGGAGCACACTCTTACTGTCTTTTTTCTTTGCATTTATGTAGATAACGTGCACAGGGCTAATAGCTAACACTAACTGGGCATTTACCACATATCAGGCACTGCCCCAAGCAATCTACATAGCTTAATATATTTAATCTTCACAACAGCCACGTGAGGCAAATTCTTTTATCATCTCTCTTTTACAGAGGGGGAGACTCAGACCCAGAGAAGTGAAGTAACTTCCCCAAAGTCACGCAGCTTCGGAGAGGAGGAGTTGGGATTCAAACTCAGGCAGCCTGGCCCCAAAGTCTATACATGTAACCATGGCATTCTGTTGTCTCTCATATATTTTCATTTTTGCATAAATGGGGTCATACCTTGTGCATCTTTTGCATCTTGTTTTTTACATTTTATATATTTTAGAGAACATCCCATGTCAGTTCACATAGGACTGCTCCTCTCACTTTAATGGTGGCACAGAACTGCATGGTATTCCACAGACAAAGATGCTATAATATATTTGTTGATTCCTTGTTGATGGACTGTTAGGGTGTTTCCACTCTGTCATTTTTACAAACAACCCTTTCACCGTCATCACTTGAACATGTATCTTTGGATCTTTGGGAACTCATAGCTATTTCTAGAGATTCCTAGAAGTGAGGATTTAAATCTTCAGAAAATATTGTTAGATTGTCTTCCCAAAAGGAAGCCCCAGTTTACACCCCATCATCAGTGTATAAGTCCCTGATCCCCACACTCTTGCCAACACTGGATGGATATAGCTTTCATTTATTTTGTCACTGGATGGGGGAGATGGGAAAGTCATGTCTCGCTGGATGTTTTCCTTTGCATTTCCCAGATTACCAGTGAGCTCAGCATCTTTTCTTGCTTTTTTTTTTTTGATTGAAGTATAGTTGATTTACAATGTTGTGTTAATTTCTGCTGTACAGCAAAGTGACTCAGTTACACACACACACACACACACACACACACACACACACATATATATGTATTCTTTTCCATTATGGTTTTTTTTTTTATTAAAAGTTTGCTTTATTTTTCTGTTGAATCAAGTACTATCTCCCAATTACAGTTACAATTTATGCCTTACAAATGTTAGCACAGTTAGCAATACCTCATTGACAATTGAATAATAAATCAAACTAGGTCCCAGCGGTTATGTCCACATCTAGGTTGTTAGGGTGATCAAGAACTCTTATTTGTTTGCTTTAGCTTTTAGTCCTTGGTTATATCTCCAAATACGAAAGAGCTGAGAGGCTCCGGCTGTCCCGACAAAGAAATTAACAGCAAACAGACTCCAGTTTTTGGGAATAATTACAAGTGAGTATCTTGACCAAATAAACCCCGTAGCCATCAAAACAGCAGATTGGGCTGTGCTGAGTTTTTCTGCAGGTCTGGCCATGTCAGCCAATCCAGCACACACCAAGCCCCATTTCATAATTGGAGCCCAGAAGAATACTGTTTTGGGACCTGCCGGGTGGTTGTACAACGGCCTCAGTTTCTTAGGCAGCAGAAGCTCCACTTTATCAAGGACCCGGTGGTAGGTGGCCCGCAGGCCCCGGGCGCCGGCGGCTGACATTTCTGCGGACGAGTGATCGTGGGCAGCCAGGTAAGGCAGCGGCCGTGTGCTCCTCCCTGGCTGGCTCCATCATGGTTTATCCCAGGAGATTGGATATAGTTCCCTGCACTGTACAGTAGGACCTTGTTGTTTTCAGCATCTTTCCAAATGTGTATAATGACCATTTCTGTATTACCTTCTGTGAATGCCCTGACAGAGTTAATAGGGCTGTGGATATTTAACGTTTCTTTCTCTGTATACCCCGACTCCACCCTGTAGTCGCCGTTTATGGCTATCCAAATCCTCCTCTTTCCTGTGATGATAGTCCCTGTGTCCCCCTTTTCACCAATCTCCTGTGTGGTCAAATTCACAGCCTTTGACCCAAAGGGAGCCAACAGGTCCATCCCTAGGTCGTGGTGATTGGTTCAGGGCAGAGCTCACGACCCAAGAAGGGCCAACCAGAGAAAACAAGCCTCCAAACTTGACTTCTTTTCCAGCTCTTGGACAGAGAAACTCTGTCTTCCTCTGCATTTGGATCAGTGACATGAGGAATCCAAAGCTGCCAGGGAACCCCAAGAGAAGCAGGAAAATGAAGAAACCACAGAGAAGGCAAAGTGAAGGAAGGCAGAGATTCTGAGTCTGGATGTTATTATTATCTGAGCCCCTGGATCCACCTTCATCCAAAGTCAACCCATGCCTGAACTTCCCCATTATGTAAGGGAATGGATTTCTTTGTTTTAATTATTATTATTTTTTAAAACAGCTTAGGTTGAGATTGTTGGGTTTTTTGGTTTTGGTTTTTTTCATTTTCACCTAACTTAATCCCATGTCCAGAAGAAAGAAAACACAGATTTGCACTGAAACAGAGCAGGACCTTATGGTCCTTCCCCCCAGCCCCATGTCCTCAGCCTGCCTTTTGTCTGTGGAAAAACTTTAGCCAAAGAATAAGTTTAATTAGAGAAGTGAGAAAATGCAGAAACAAAGGAAAACAGTCCAACAAGACTAAATAATAATAGTTGAGTCATTAAGCATAGTCAAGGACCTTTAGTTCCTTCTCAAGAGCTATAGATAATATTCTGAGCCATATCCTGTGAGCTGTCTTACAGATACTGAAACCCCCACCAGGTGGAGAAGTTAACTACATGATGACCAGCCATGACATAAGCTGCCACAATTCTGAGAACTGGCCTCAAGAAATGGAAACATAGATAGCCTCATCCACCAGAGGGCAGACAGCAGAAGCAAGAAGAACTACAATCCTGCAGCCCGTGGAAGGAAAACCATATTCACAGAAAGACAGACAAAATGAAAAGGCAGAGGACTTTGTACCAGATGAAGGAACAAGATAAAACCCCAGAAAAACAACTAAATGAAGTGGAGATAGGCAACCTTCCAGAAAAAAAATTCAGAATAATGATAGTGAAGATCATCCATGACCTCAGAAAAATAATGGAGGCAAAGATCTAGAAGATGCAAGAAATGTTTAACAAAGACCCAGAAGAATTAAAGAACAAACAGAGATGAACAATACAATAACTGATATGAAAACTACACTAGAAGGAATCAATAGCAGAATAACTGAGGCAGAAGAACGGATAAGTGACCTGAAGACAGAATGGTGGAACTCACTGCCATGGAACAGAATAAAGAAAAAAGAATGAAAAGAAATGAAGACAGCCTAAGAGACCTCTGGGACAACATTAAACACAACAACATTCGCATTATAGGGGTCCCAGAAGGAGAAGAGAGAGAGAAAGGACCCAAGAAAATATTTGAAGAGATTATAGTCAAAAACTTCCCTAACATGGGAAAGGAAATAGCCACCCAAGTCCAGGAAGTGCAGAGAGTCCCAGGCAGGATAAACCCAAGGAGAAACATACGGAGACACATAGTAATCAAACTGACAAAAATTAAAGACAAAGAAAAATTATTGAAAGCAACAAGGGAAAAAAGACAGGTAACATACAAGGGAACTCCCATAAGGTTAACAGCTGATTTCTCAGCAGAAACTCTACAAGCCAGAAGGGAGTGGCACGATATATTTAAAGTGATGAAAGAGAAGACCCTACAACCAAGATTACTCTACCTGGTAAGGATCTCATTCAGAGTCGATGGAGAAATCAAAAGCTTTACAGACAAGCAAAAGCTAAGAGAATTCAGCACCACCAAATCAGCTCTACAACAAATGCTAAAGGAACTTCTCTAAGTGGGAAACACAAGAGAAGAAAAGGACCTACAAAAACAAACCCATAACAATTAAGAAAATGGTAATAGGAACATACATATTGATAATTACCTTAAATGTGAATGGATTAAATGCTCCAACCAAAAGACACAAGCTCCCTGATTGGATACAAAAACAAGACCCACGGGCTTTCCTGGTGGGGCAGTGGTTGAGAGTCCGCCTGCCGATGCAGGGGACACGGGTTCGTGCCCCGGTCCGGGAGGATCCCACATGCCGCAGAGTGGCTGGGCCCGTGAGCCATGGCCTCTGGACCTGCGCGTCCGGAGCCTGTGGTCCACAACGGGAGAGGCCACAGCAATGAGAGGCCCGCGTACTGCAAAAAAAACACAAAAAACAAAAAACAAAAACAAGACCCATATACATGCTGTCTACAAGAGACCCACTTCAGACCTAGGGATGCACACAGACTGAAAGTGAGGGGCTGGAAAAAGATATTCCATGCAAATAGAAAGCAAAAGAAAGCTGGAGTAGCAATACTCATATCAGATAAAATAGAATTTAAAATAAAGAATGTTACAAGAGACAAGGAACTACATAATGATCAAGGGATCAATCCAAGAAGAAGATATAACAATTATAAATTATGTGCACCCAACACAGGAGCACATCAATACATAAGGCAACTGCTAACAGCTATAAAAGAGGAAGTCTACAGTAACGCAATAATAGTGTTAGACTTTAACACCTCACTTACACCAATGGACAGATTATCCAGACAGAAAATTAATACGGAAACACAAGCTTCAAATGACACAATAGACCAGATAGATTTAATTGATATTTATAGGACATTCCATCCAAAAAGAGCAGATTACACTCCCTTCTCAAGTGCACATGGAACATTCTCCAGGATAGATCACATCTTGGGTCACAAATCAAGCCTCGGTAAATTTAAGAAAATTGAAATCATATCAAACGTGTTTTCCAACCACAACGCTATGAGATAAGAAATCAATTACAGGGAAAAAAATGTAAAATACACAAGCACATGGAGGCTACACAATATGTTACTAAATAACCAAGAGATCACTGAAGAAATCAAAGAGGAAATAAAAAAGTACCTAGACACATTACAGAGAAATCATGACGATCCATAACCTATGGAGTGCAGCAAAAGCAGTTCTAAGATGGAAGTTTATAGCAATACAAACTTACCTCAAAAAACAAGAAGAATCTCAAATAAACAATCTAACCTTACGTCTAAAGCAATAAGAGAAAGAAGAACAAAAAAAACCCAAAGTTAGCAGAAAGAAAGAAATCATGAAGATCAGATCAGAAATAAATGAAAAAGAAATGAAGGAAACGATAGCAAAGATCAATAAAACTAAAATCTTGTTTTTTGAGAAGATAAACAAAATTGATAAACCGTTAGCCAGACTCATCAAGAAAAAAAGGGAGAAGACTCAAATCAACAGAATTAGAAATGAAAAAGGAGAAGTAACCACTGACACTGCAGAAATACAAAGGATCATGAGAGATTACTACAAGCAACTCTATGCCAATAAAGTGGACAACCCAGAAGAAATGGACAAATTCTTAGAAAAGCACAAGGCTCTGAGACTGAACGAGGAAGAAATAGAAAATATGAACAGACTGATCACAAGTAATGAAATTGAAACTGTGATTAAAAATCTTCCAACAAACCAAAGTCCAGGACCAGATGGCTTCACAGGTGAATTCTATCAAACATTTAGAGAAGAGCTAACACCCATCCTTCTCAAACTCTTCCAAAAAATTGCAGAGGAAGGAACACTCCCAAACTCATTCTATGAGGCCACCATCACCCTGATACCAAAACCAAATATACTACAAAAAAAAAAAAGAAAAAGAAAATTACAGATCAATATCACTGATGAATATAGATGCAAAAATCCTCAACAAAATACCAGCAAACAGAATCCAGCAACACATTAAAAGGATCATACACCACAATCAAGTGGGATTTATCCCAGGGATGCAAGGACTCTTCAATATATGCAAATCAACCCATGTGATACACCATATTAACAAATTGAAGAATAAAAACCATATGATCATCTCAATAGATGCAGAAAAAGCTTTTGACAAAATTCAATACTGATTTATGATAAAAACTCTCCAAAAAGTGGGCATAGAGGGAACCTACCTCAACATAATAAAGGCCATACATGACAAACCCACAGCAAACATCATTCTCAATGGTGAACAACTGAAAGCATTTCCTCTAAGATCGGGAACAAGGCAAGGATGTCCCCTCTCGCCACTCTTATTCAACATAGTTTTGGAAGTCCTAGCCACAGCAATCAGAGAAGAAAAAGAAATAAAAGGAATACAAATTGGAAAAGAAGAAGTAAAACTGTCACTGTTTGCAGATGACATGATACTATACATAGAGAGTCCCAAAGATGCCACCAGAAAACTGCTAGATCTAATCAATGAATTTGGTAAAGTTGCAGGATACAAAATTAATGCACAGGTATCTCTTGCATTCCTATACACTAAAAATAAAAGATCAGAAACAGTTATTAAGGAAACAATCCCATTCACCATTGCTACAAAAAGAATAAAATATCTAGGAATAAACCTATCTAAGGAGGTAAAAGACCTATACTCAGAAAACTATATGACACTGATAAAAGAAATCAAAGATGACACAAACAGATGGAGAGATATACCATGTTCTTGGATTGGAAGAATCAGTATTGTGAAAATGACTATACTACCCAAAGCAATCTACAGATTCAATGCAATCCCTATCAAATTACCAGTGGCATTTTTTACAGAACTAGAACAAAAAGATCTTAAAATTTGTATGGAGACACAGAAGACCCTAAATAGCCAAAGCAGTCTTGAG